AAAAAAAAAAAAAAAAGATAAGACTCTGTCAGAATGGATATGGAGCCCCGAGAATGGATATGGAGCCAGAATCATGAAGTTCTGTTTTTGAACCTTCTTGTTTTTGTGTTTTAAACTTTTTTTTTTCCGAAATCTGTCAGGGACAATTCTTGAAATCCCATTGACCCTTTTCTCATCTTCTTTGAGATGGGACAATGAAGAGCCTGTGCTGTTGGAGGCTGTGCAAAAGTAAATAACTACGAGTCTTAGGGCGTCGCTAGACACTCCTTGGGGATGAGAAATCCACAAGGACGTGCTCGTTCCACGTGTCCTTGGGGACGAAATTGAAAAAGAAATGTGAAAACTCCACAAGGAAAATTCCTTGTGGCGTTCTTGTGGCCTCAGCCAAAATTTCCTTATCCCGGTGAGGTCCCTTGGAGCTCAAGGAACCGTGATTCACGCAGTGGTGAAGACATGCGCCGATGGAGAGTTTCGGTTCTTGGGTGGTCCAGATGTGGTCCAACGGCGTTAGCACGGACATCCCTGCCCCCCAATGTCTGCGTAGTCCCTCAACGACCCCCAACGACTACTGTTGGCGGTGGGCCTCCATCGGGTGGCATTGACGTTTTCGGTTTGCATCATGCGGTCTCCCCCGCTCGAGGAACGTCCGCAACGGTCGGGGAAATATTTCTTTCCCGGCAGCGCCTTCAGTCCGTCCATGGAAGAGGTTTCTGCACGAGTGTCATATTCCCACGCATGTAGTCACGTGCTGCACGTCCGACAAGACTCTTGCCTTCTCCGCCGTCGTGTGCTAGATGGCCGACCAGGACCGCAGGGTCCCTCTGCTGCTCCACATTGCTGTGCTGCTTCTGGTGGTCCCTCTGCTGCTTCTCGTTGAAGTAGTCATCCGTGGCATCGTCGCATTGTCGAAGTTTTCCCATGCCCCCCCTGTCCTGCGTGTGATCCACCACCTCGGTGTCATTCATGGAATAACGCCACAACTCAACGTGTAGCGCAGGTCAATGACAGCCTCCGAAGTTGCTACGTAGTCGGGGCCGTCATCCGCAGCTTGCATAAGTGTCCTTCTACGCACGTGCAACTGCACCTTCATTTGTCCCACGCCCTCTCCTGCTAACAACGAAGAACAACAGTTGACACGGCCGCCGCCACGGCTGCCCTCTCAAGCGGTGTCAACAACGCACGTCCGCTCTCTCCGCCGCCCTCCATCGCCACCACTTCCACAGGGATGGCATCTCTCCGCTGCCGTCTCGATCCTCGCACCCCAGAGACGTAACCTGCTAACCCCTCGAGGAGAGGTCCGAGAAGCTGCCACCTTTCTGTGGATGCCACCCCCCTGGCAGAACTGCGTGTGATGGCGCGGAGGACGTGGAGGAGAAGCTCAACGGCGACGGACGCACCCGGTGCACGCACGTACACTACCGGGAGGTGGGCGGAAGGGATGTTGCCGCTAAGGGCGATTCAGCCCTTCACTGTCTAGGTGCCGCAAGCCGAAGGTCGTCGGCGTCACCACAGCCGTACTTCAAATTTTGAATTTCAAACGTAGAGGTCCCCCTTTTTTATTTTATTTTCCGTGGCCTGCCTCCTGCCCTTTCTCGCCAGATGTCGCTGGACCACACCGTCTCCACATGGACAACGGAAGCTGGACCACGGACACCCCCACCCGCGGCCGCTTATTTTCATATGAAAATGGCAGCGGGCAGGCCACAAGGAAACGTCCTCTGGGATCTCCAAGGATGTGTGGAACGAAGCCGCAAAGTTCCCTTACGAGCTACAAGGAAAATTCCTTGTGGCTCAAGGAACTTGTAAGGAGTGTCTAACGATGCCCTTAGACTCTTAGGCAAATGAATTGAATAACTATGGAGTGGGTGGGAGGATCAAAGGAGCCCAAAACCCCAAGGCAAAAGTGTGTTTTCATGCAAAATTCGCTTCGCTCTTTTCAGTTTTTCAATATTTTCAGGATTTTCAGGGCTGGCCAAAGCAGTCATCTCCAAGACCCCAACAAACACCAAACTTGGCACACACAGACCAAAAATACAAGAGGGCAAAAAAAAAAAACATAAAAAAAAACTAAAAATAAATCCCCCAAGTGCACTTTCACTGTTTCAGTGTCGGGGGGTGTTAACCTGGGCCTTAGAAGTGGTAGTCCCTGTGGGGGTCCCTGTTAACCACTTGTGTAGAGCGGAGCAGGTGCCATTTTCTTGAAGCGTTGTTGAGGTACTAGAAAATGAATGCACTTACTCTGTGTTGTTGTTGTTGTTGTTGTTGTTGTTGTTGTTGTTGTTGTCAACATGTTAACTTACTATGTCGTCACTGTTTTTGTTGTTGTTGTCGTCGTCATAAAATAGTATATGTACCGCTTCGATCAAGCAATGAATGAACTGGAGGAAAGGTACCACTTCCTATCGTCGCAGCTTCAGGTTGTGTCGTCCGCAAATGAGAAGGAGAAGGTGAGAAGACGAGTGAGTGGAGGTTGTCCTAATGTGTGGGACTCTCCTTGATGTAAATCTTGTTGTAAATTGTCCTCTCATTCCGAGTCATTCGTCTTCTTCTTTTTTCTTTTTTAACGTGGACCATATCTCGGTCTATGGTAATTTCATGCACTCCATCCTTGCACGAGGGCCATGCTACGAATATTGTGTATCATTGGAATTTCGGCAGTATTGAGGGACGTGAAAACAATCAATACACATGGTGACATGGGAATACAATAAGAAGAGTCCTTTGGGACATCCGTTAGCATGGCCCCTGCGCAAGGATGACACGCATAAATCGAGAAATGGTCCAAATTAAAAGAAAAAAAGAAAAAAAAATCAAGAAGAAGATGACATGAGTTTTACATTTCATGGCGTAATCAGTGACCTTCCTTCCCACACTTCCTTGATGATGCAGTATGATCCCCAAAAAAAAAAAAAAAGGATCCCATGCTAATCTTTGCGGTGTCGTGCCAATTTAACGGATGTTCCAGACGACGACAAGGATTGCAAGTCTATCATGTAGGAAAACAGAATATTGCAGGGAAATGACTAAGGAGCCTAGCTCAGTTGGTACACCCATGAACTGCTGAATTACAGGCCTGAGTCCACATTCTGATGGACCTAGGTGAATGCAATGAAATAATTATTTGTTCTATTAAAAAAAAAAAAAAAGGTATATTGTAGGGATATGGTTTTGGATATCTAATATCTCTGTAGTATGTGTGTGTTATAGAGCCCCTTTGCTCATCGAGCATCTGCTCTGCTTCTGCATCATTCATCCATGATTTGCAACCATTGACTAAGCCCACGTTATGGGCTTTGCTTCACTAGCGTTCTCTGAGCTTCTAGCCACGCCGGCCGTCCAGGCCACCTTGTTTGCCCTGGCGGCCCGGCTGTGCAAAGACCAGGGAATGCCGAATTTGCCACCAATTCATAGAGTGGACACCTAGGCTACCAGAGTGACCCCGGACGACGTGCCCGTGAAAGCATTTTTTCATTTAACACACGTTAACCAGGGAAAGTTAACAGTGGTTGCGTGAAATGCAGAAGATGAGTGATGGCAAGTTGGCAACGTGACTTCCACCGCCGGGCCGACATGTCAATGCCACTCTGGCTATCAATGCCACTCTGCATTGCCACGTTGCCAACTTGCCATCGCTCTTCTGCATTTCACTCACCTTCGCCCAATAGACATGTCAATGCCATGTTGGAAGTCACGTTGCCACGTTGCCACGGCTGAGCTATCCTTGTCGCCCAATAGACATGTCAATGCCACTCTGGCGAAAGATTTCGACTAACTCTCCCTGGTCCTTCCTTTTCAACTCCACTGTCAACAAAAAGGTCGTCTCGACGCTTTTACCGTCGACAACACGCCACACAAGTCAGGGACTAGCGACGACGGTCTAGCCAAAGAAAGTCTTAAAAAAAACTCAGCCTAACAAGTCAAAGGTACGAAACCCCACCGCTCTACCGCACAAAAGAAAAAAGGAAGAACGACAGCCGCCAAGCCCGGTCGGGTTCCTCACTGGATGCAAACTCAAGTAACCATAGCCCGGCAAGTCTTCATAGGCACCCCCCCAGTAGTACTACCAGATTCTCCAAAGGGATGGCCCTGGCCCAAACAAAGCCAAATTAATAAATTTAAAATTATCCACTCCTATCGACAAACTAACCACAAATTACCGCAACTGATCCAATCACAAAACCTTTTTTTTTTTTTTTTTTTTGAATCCACACTAAGAGGAGGGAGAACAACTTCCAGGCAGACCAGGAGCAGTCAACGCGGGTAGCTCGCTGGGGTGAGTAGTGCCACCCTTGTAACGAGTGGCAATGCGGGAGCGTCAGGGCAGGTGGAAGTGGCTGCTCAGGTCCTGGTGTGGCCAGTCGGGAGTCGGGACAAACCCAATAAAATAAGTATTGGGTTGAATTGAATTCGCAGTCAGAATCATCATAGCTGACATTTGTGGCTCGTTACGATGCCTATCAGGGTTAAGTGTCTTGAGATCGTCAATTTCATGTACATCAAGAGAGGCTTTCAAGTCTCAACAAACCTGTCATAACAGAAGCTCAATAACGACCATTTCGTCAAAATGGACATCTTTTATTTTTTGAACGAAATTGAAACCGAGTTTTTTGGCCGAAAACTCGTCAAAATGCCGGACCCTCAGGAACCGCAAATTTTGACGAGTTTTTGGCCAAAAAAATCGGTTTCAATTTCGTTCAAAAAATAAAAGATGTCCATTTTGATGGAATGGCAGTTCAATGACCAACAATCATGATGTATATTATATAATCATAGGCTGGGCCACTGCCTGCCCGGGCCGACCCTAGCCAGGCAGGGGGGGGGGGGGTCCGCCCGGGAAATCCAGGGGGGGCAAAAAACCAGCAGTTTTTTTTTTATTTTTTTTTCCCCTTAGGTGGGGTTTTGTTGCGCGATCCCAGAGGACCCCGAATCTGCAATAAAAAGATGGGGGGGGGGGGAAAGGGGGGGGTTGACAATTTTGACTAGTGCACTGCGATGAGGCCTGCACTGCAGAATTTGACAATATGAATGTTTTGAAATTTGAATTGCTTTCCTCTAGTGAAGGTGGGGGGTGTTCTGACTTGTGTCCTGTGTTTGCAACTTTGCATGCATCGCGTCCATCCTCGTGACGTGGGTGGAATTTTGACATTCGGGTGGTACAGGTGATCGTCTTCGAGCGAGGAGAGCTCGTATTTGTATTCAACTTTCATCCGTCATGCACATACTCAGAGTAGGTGCAAATAACCCCCAACCGACCCACCTATACCCCTCCTATCCTCACCAAAACCCCTCGTACCCCCCCATCCCACCCCAAATAGCACCCTACCTTTGTGAGCATCTTTGTTCATTGGTTGGGACTCGGGAGCAATGGGAGGGTTGTCCCATTGCTCCCAAGTAATTGATTGAATTATTCTGTTTCCGTGCCGATGCGAGAAGAATGCCCATTCATCTACTCCTTTGACGAGTTCGAGTCGAATTGATAACTGTGCGTTCCCTGTTGGGCGCAGCGTTTGCTGCTACTCCATCAGGAAGCTACCGTCTTCGCCCGAATAGAACGCCCAGTCGTTATCGCTGCGTCTGGACTGAAAAATGCCCCAAATTCAGCTACAATGACTGGATGTTATATTCGGCTGAAGATTGTAGTCCGTTGATGTGAGAATGAAAGTTTTGGGTTTAGGTTCTGGATGGAAAGATTGTAGTCCGTTGATGTGAGAATGAAAGTTTTGGGTTTAGGTTCTGGATGGAAAGCCTTTGGCCTTGCACAATTTACAATCAGGGGGGCTTTATTACAATCAGGATTAGTGGTGGAAGTCCAACACCACGTAACGGATGTGGTCCTCCTAGTCGTCCCCACAAAAAGCGCCGCGTATAAAATTATCGGTTCTGATGATCGGATTGGCAGCGACTCGAATGAAGCAATGCTGATGATCATCTGCCGCATTTATTGTGTTTTGAGTCTTTTGACAACATCCCGTTTAATCGGTCATTTGGGTAATCGGCGATAAATGGGGCGAAAAAAAAAAAAAAAAGTCTTGGTACGAAGTTGCGAACAAAAAAGAAGATGGCTGTGGGCCGCACTCCACTGCACGATCTTGTAAATGTATCTCGTGCTAGCAACGGGTGCGATTTATTTCAACTGCTGGATCGGTCCGAGTGCATACGGTCAACGTTGTGTCCAGATGCATGTAGAGTGTCATGCAGGGGAGCAAGGCCCTATGTTAGAAGGTGCAAAATGAATTGAAGAAGGCTACGCAACGATCGCAGTAGTGGGCGGAGCTGTTGTGGGCGCTGGAAATGTGTTCAGTTCTTTGAACCGTTCTGTTGGTCGGAAGCCTTCTTTAGAAATGGGAAAAGAAAAAGAGGGGGGGGGGGGGGGGGGGGGTTGGGAAAGGAAGCAACTACTTGGTTGTGGTGCTCTCTGCGAAAGAGGGCACATGACATTTGGTTCTTTGATTCATTCTGTTGCACAAAATCTTTCTTTAAAAACTGAAAAGGGGGCGGGGGGCGGGGGGCGGAGGGCGGAGGGCGGGGGGAAGCAACTACTTGGTTATGGTGCGCTGTGCGAAGAGGGCACACAAAGTGCTGCGCCCTCGTCAACATGTTCTCTGGGCATTGGTCAGGATTCTGGCTCGCCGAAAGAGACTGTTTTCCGGTTCCGGTGACCGGCCTTCAATATGTGCTGATCTCCAATCTCTGTGTTCCTACTGGAATGAAGAGTGTCGCACGCGGTCGCGCCTTGCACACAGAAGAGCACGGACGAAAAATGCCCTCCTGAAGCACGGACGAAAAATCCTACTTTTGCTTTTCCTTCCGCTCGTGTTGTTGTAAAATTCTTTAGTAGAATAATAAAGATAAGAATTACATCAGTGGATTCAGTGCCCATTTTTCTTTTCCCTTTTTTTTTCAGGCGAACGAGCCAGGTTTTCTAACAGGCCGCCTGAGGAAGTTAGGGAGGCCTTCTTCGCTCCGTACCAACACGGGCTGGCTCTAAGGGTATGATCGGCATGCTAGGTTCCTCTTCACAATGAATCTGGCCCCTCGTCGCCTGCAGATGACAGATTTTGCTTATCGCAGCCCCATGGACTGGATGCGCCGTGAATGTTTTTGTTGTTGGTTCTGCTAAGAACGTCCACAGAGTAGAATTTTATTGTGTGTATATGCCCTTAGTAATGGACATATTGACATTGTGCCGCTGATTTCTTTCTTCTTGGATTCTTCTCTGCGCGCCCCCCCCCCCCCCCCCCCCCCCCCCCCCCCCCCCCCCCCCCCCCCCTCTTCCTACCCCCACCCACCCCCTGACCGTCTTTGGTTATCTTCATCCCTTCAGCATTTAATTTGTTGCACACACATCCTCCGTGTGTGTGTGTGTGTGTGTGCCTTTTGTGTGCAGCTATAAGGTGGGCTGTGAGAGGCCAGGAAGATACCGAATAGCCCTGGACAGTGATGCCAGAGAGATGGGCGGGAAAGGAAGGGTAGGTTATTGCTGACCAGCCAGCCTTGCATGCGTAGCAGTGTGTAAACTTGCCGATTTCATTTGCATCCGAAATCAGATTGCACTTTGAGGTGACCAAGAAGGGGAGAAAAAGGAATCCAAGGCTGGTTTTCAGCAGTTGTTTTGCTTGCTGCATTCGTTCAGGAGCACCAGGGTAGACTCTGGGCGCCATCCAGTGTGTGTGTGTGTGTGTGTGTGTGTGTGTGTG